CAATGCGTGCGAAAATTCCTGATCAGGGTAATCTGGTACACTGTCGGTCACATTGGGATGCTTGGATGTTGTCCCATCCTTCAAGCTGTGCAAAGTGCTGGATCGGGGGAACGGAACACACTGTCCGTACACATGATCCGGCTCCACAAAATGTCATGGGTGAATGTCTGGGTGAGTATACAGGCCATGGAAAACAGGAATTGTGTACAGATCCTTGCGACATGGGGCCGTGCTTTATCATGCTGAAACATGAGGTGATGTCGGCAGATGAATGGCACGACAATGGGCCTCAGGATCTCAGCACTTACAGTACCGTCAAAGGTTTGGACACACCTACTCATTCAAGGGTTTTCTACATTGTAGAATAATAGTGAAGTCATCAAGACTATGAAATAACACATTTGGAATCATGTAGAAACCCAAAAAAAGTTTTATTCTGAGATTCTTCAAATACCCACCCATTGCCTTGATGACAGCTTTGCACATTCTTGGCATTCTCTCAACAGCTTCATGAGGTAGTCACCTGGAATGCATTTCAATTAACAGGTGTGCCTTCTTAAAGTTAATTTGTGGAATTTCTTTCCTTCTCAATGAATTTGAGCCAATCAGTTGGTGTTTGTGACAAGGTAGGGGGGGTATACAGAAGATGGCTGTATTTGGTAAAATACCAAGTCCATATTATGGCAAGAAACAGCTCAAATTAGCAAGAGAAACGACAGTCCATCATTACTTTAAGGCATGAAGGTCAGTCAATACCGAACATTTCAAGAACTTTGAAAGTTTCTTCAAGTGCAGTCACAAAAACCATCAAGCGCTATGATGAAATGTTCAGAGGGGACTGTATGAATCAGGCCTTCATTGTTGAATTGCTGCAAAGAAACCACTACTAAAGGACACCAATAAGAAGTGACCTTCTTGGGCCAAGAAAAACCCAAGAAATGGACATTAGACAGGTGGACATTTCTCCTTTGGTCTGATGAGTCCAAATTTGAGATTTTTGGTTCCAACCGCAGTTTCTTTGTGAGACGCGGTGGTGGGTGAAACGAATGATCTCGCATGTGTGGTTCCCACCGTAAAGCATGGAGGAGGAGGTGTGATGGTGTGGGGTGCTTTTGCTGGTGACATGTCTGTGATTTATTAGAATTCAAGGCCAAACTTAACCAGCATGGCTACCATATCATTCTGCAGCGATACACCATCACATCTGGTTTGGGTTTAATGGGACTATCATTTGTTTTTCAACAGGACAATGACCTAACACACCCCCATGCTGTGTAGGGGCTATTTTACCAATAAGGAGAGTGATTGAGGCTGCATCAGATGACCTGGCCTCCACAATCCCCCAACCTCAACCCAATTGAGATGGTTTGCCTCCCGAGGGGTGCAGTGGTCTAAGGCCACTGCATCACAGTGCTAGCTTTGGCCACTAGAGATCCTGGTTCGGATCCAGGCTCTGTCGTAGCCGGCCGCGA